TGTGTTCAACTAAATTTTGGTCATCTATTAAAACATCAGGATTCATTTAATTTGAGTGACATATTAACATGGAGCGCGCGAGAGTGAAGGAGTGAAGGGTGAGCGTGCAGTGACAAGAAAGTGAGCATATCAAAAAAACATAATTCTATAGGCCTATCCAAAAATAAAAAATACATAATTACAATATTGAGAAAATTGTCAACAAGTATCATGACCGCGGTGTCCTCAAGCGAGACTCCCGATTAATTATAACTATTATAAATAAATCTAAAGACACATCATTGCAAATACAAAAATAACAAGATTGGACATAAACCTTCTGTAAACAAAATCAGGTTCGAAAATAACCTGACTACGTCTACACGTTTAAATGGTACACATTTGTAATCAATTTAACAAGCAACGGACAGAAAGAAAAAAGAAAGACGTGCCCAAGAAAAGAAAAAATGTGTACAATACACAGCTGTACAATCTAAATGTGGGTCGCTGGGGATTTCAAAACAAATAAAATGAGGGGTTACTCGCGTGTGCTCATTCATACAATTAAACTGGGAGCGCCACGTTCGGAAAAAACATATCGCACTGGGCTGGCGAACATTGTTTGTGAACAATGCTCGCCACCCCAAAGCACCATGCCCTCCAAACGCCGCGCCGCTCCGAACTTACAACCCTTAACTCAAAATCGAATAAAAGAGCATTATTTTATGAACAAAAACGAATAAAGTAGGGTTCAACGTGTAGACCTACTTTCACATTATCTGCGTATTAGCATACAGGAAAGGCTTGCCCACGTGGAGTAAACACATAAATGAATTGATGGGAAGATTTAAGACGTGGAGTAAACACATAAATGAATTGATGGGAAGATTTAAGACGTGGAGTAAACACATAAATGAATTGATGGGAAGATTTAAGACGTGGAGTAAACACATAAATGAATTGATGGGAAGATTTAAGACGTGGAGTAAACACATAAATGAATTGATGGGAAGATTTAAGACGTGGAGTAAACACATAAATGAATTGATGGGAAGATTTAAGACGTGGAGTAAACACATAAATGAATTGATGGGAAGATTTAAGACGTGGAGTAAACACATAAATGAATTGATGGGAAGATTAAAGACGTGGAGTAAACACATAAATGAATTGATGGGAAGATTTCAGACGTGGAGTAAACACATAAATGAATTGATGGGAAGATTTAAGACGTGGAGTAAACACATGGTAAGATTTAAGAAAGTGTTAAATCTACATATAATAAGGTGTATAGCTGGCAGGCGCGGATCCAGGGGGTCGGGCGGTCCTTGTCCCCCCCCCCCCCCCCCCAGGGGAGCCCCTGGACACTGGCGTACTGTTGAGGGAGAGGGGGGGGGGGTATTTCTAATTCAATATGTTGCTGAAATGACATGATATTCCGGTATTTTTTTGTGTAAATCATAGGCCTATACCTTTTCATGCGTGTATTAATAAATTACAAACTCCCAAATTTAGAGTCGGGCACAAAAATATGCTTATTTAGAAGCTTTCATGTCACGGCCTGCAAAAGGGCGGGGCTCTGGGGCTCGAGCCCCCCCCCCTCAATTTTTGAAAAAAATATGTTAAAGAGAAAAAATAAAAAAAGAGAGAAGAAATATGAGTGACCTGCTAATAAATGTCACTATTAATGAGGTATCAAAATATGCTCATCTGACCGTAATTAAATACATAAAACCCCTGATCTTCCGGGGGCTCATCCCCTGGACCTAAAGCCAATTTACGCTCCACTCGCTTCGCTCGCTACGCTCTACCTGATCGTTAATAAACCACTTTGAAAAACGTTCCGCGGGGCCTGCATGTATTATATAACAGTGGCGGTGATGCAGATTTTTCTTCTGCCCCCCCCCCCCCCCACAAAAAAAAGGTTTTGCTCATTACGCCACTGTCCCTGGAATGTCCCCCCCCCCCCCCATCCCAAAGGTATAGAAGGTATAGAAGCAGTGCAGTGGAAGTCATCAGTTCTAGGCCTAGTATAAAAGACTTTCTTACGAGTGTAGGCTCTGTGATAAGGCGAAATGATCAAAACTAAAACAATTGAGACTTGACAGCATTCAACTAAATGACGTTGGACTTGTTTTTCTATGTGACAAAAGATATTGTTTTAATATAGAGATTTTTAAGCAAGGTATAGGCCTACTTGAATTCTAAATATATTTTTTTGTTTCTATTTATACATCATACAGGATATTGCTTAAGCATCATACTTTTGCCGTTGTGATGGTCACAAAAAGTTTATTGCGAGGGAGCGAAGCGAGAGGGGACAAAAATAATAGTTGTGAGGTCAGAAAAATTAAATCTTATAAAGAGGAAAAGGGGATATAAGCACATGCTAATAACGGAAGACTAAAAAGACTTTTAATAAGAAACATAATTATATCATCCATAAATGCGAAGGAGCGTGGCAAGCGAGCTTTGGAGGGGGGGGGGGTCGTTCTTAGTCGCTTGAAATAAGGGTTACGTTTAATGATGGGAGAAAAAGGGGATATTTCTCACACCGTAAAAAAGAGGCCCTCATCAGGGATGAAAAAAGGCACTTATAAGAATGAGAAATGGGCATTTGTCGACGAAAAAGGGGGAACCCATTAGATTTTGATAGGGGGCATTTATAAATGCAGAAAAAAGGGGCATTTATGAAACGGGATAGGTCCCCTATTAGAAAAGAAAAGGGGCACGTATCATTCTTAAAAAGAAAATTGTCAGAGATAAAAAAAGGGGGCACTTATTCAACCTTCAAAGGGGCACTTATGAGAATTAAAAAGGGGCTCTTATAACAAAGGAAAATGTGCATTTGTTGAAATAAAAGGGCAGTTATTAGAGGTGAAAAGAGACTCGCATCAGATTTGAATTGGGGCACTTATGAGAATTAAAAGGGACACTTTTCATATGTTAAAAAAAGGGAATTCATGAGAAAGGGAAAGGGGAACAATTCTCGAAATGGGGGCACTAATCATAAGGAAAGGAAAAGGGGCACATGTTAAAATATAAATCCGCTTATCCGAGTTAAATAGGGGTAGTTATTAAAAGGGGAATGGGCACATCTTACAAAGGATACCTTGTCAAAGTAAAAGGTGCACCTCTCAGATTTGAATAGGGCAATTATGAAGAGGTTAATGGGGCACTTATCAAAAGTGAAAAGTGGCACTTCTCGTACCTAAAAAAGGGCATTTATTTACTTGTCAAAGGAAAAAGGAGAAAATGTCAAAATAAAAGGGGCACTTTTCAGAGGAGAAAAGGGGGAAGGGAAATTTTTCCTATGCAAAAAAAAGGCACTTCTTACAAATTTGAAGGGGCACTTTTCCTTTGTAAAAAATGGGCGCTTTGGGGATACATGAAATAATGGGGGGGGGAGCCACCTATGTCCTACTGTCATTTGACACATTCATAGACTGACAACGGTAAAGCTACAGTCCCATATACGTCCCGGACCGTCCCGGACCATCCCGGACCCCATCCGGGGTGATCCGGGATTCGGTCCGTGTTGACACCGTGTTGGCACCGGGGTGGTCCTGGATGGTCCTGGATGGTCCTGGATGGTCCTGGATGGTCCTGGGCGATCCGGGAGTCGACCCCGGATGTTTTTGACGGTCAAAAACTGCCGGGGTGGTCCGGGACGGTCCGGGACAATAGTTTGATCCGGGGTGATCCGTGTAGCCACCGTGCTGGGTCCGGGGTCATCCGTAGTGGCGCCGGGGCGGTCCGTGTTGATCCGTGGCAGTCCGGGAGTGAGTTATTGACCGCCCAGGACCATCCAGGACCATCCAGGACCATCCAGGACCACCCCGGTGCCAACACGGTGTCAACACGGACCGAATCCCGGATCACCCCGGATGGGGTCCGGGATGGTCCGGGACGGTCCGGGACGTATATGGGACTGTAGCTTTTAAAGCCCCAGTCCCATATAAAGCCGGACCAGCACGGACGAGCACGGACCACTCCGGACCATCCCGGACCATGGTCTGGGTGATCCGGGATGGTCCGGGATGTTTTGTTCAAAAAAAGTGTGATGTTTTTAAGCTACAGTCCCATATATGTCCCGGACCGTCCCGGACCATCCCGGACCCCATCCGGGGTGATCCGGGATTCGGTCCGTGTTGACACCGTGTTGGCACCGGGGTGGTCCTGGATGGTCCTGGATGGTCCTGGATGGTCCTGGGCGGTCAATAACTCACTCCCGGACTGCCACGGATCAACACGGACCGCCCCGGCGCCACTACGGATGACCCCGGACCCAGCACGGTGGCTACACGGATCACCCCGGATCAAACTATTGTCCCGGACCGTCCCGGACCACCCCGGCAGTTTTTGACCGTCAAAAACATCCGGGGTCGACTCCCGGACCGCCCAGGACCATCCAGGACCATCCAGGACCATCCAGGACCATCCAGGACCACCCCGGTGCCAACACGGTGTCAACACGGACCGAATCCCGGATCACCCCGGATGGGGTCCGGGATGGTCCGGGACGGTCCGGGACGTATATGGGACTGTAGCTTATAGCATCACACTTTTTTGAACAAAACATCCCGGACCATCCCGGATCACCCCAGACCATGGTCCGGGATGGTCCGGAGTGGTCCGTGCTCGTCCGTGCTGGTCCGGCTTTATATGGGACTGGGGCTTAAGACTCAGATTCAGAACAGTCTGACGGAAACCGGTCTTGTAATATGTGGAACAATGGCCAAGACCAGAGCCATCTATATACAAAGTTTGACCAAATTGTTTTTACTGGGTCATAACATGATGTATTCTTCTCTTTTGTGCCTGCCAAAATGTGTCCAAATCGAACCGGGTTGGCCAAACTCTGTGTATAGATGGCTCAGGCCAAGACTAGCTGACCCCGCCCCCTAGCAGCTGGGGATTACGTAATGGCTGGCTGGCTGGCTAGAGAGCCAGCGCAGCCGTCTCAGCTATAACGGCGCGCTGCACCGTACCGCGGCAGCGGGCCCGGGCTCACCGGGCTACCGTACCCGCGCCCAGCGCCATGCTCCACATGTTTTTCCGTGCAACCACAGAGACACGAGTGACAGAAAATGGCGACTAATGACTCTAAATCTGGGATAAAACTGTCGAGTAGAACTGATTGCGTTGTATCTTTCAGTGACCCCGTACGAGACGCTTCCGAAGCAACTTCTGCGAATCGCTATCATGAGACTCAAAACCCGCAGGTAGATCTAACTTTTTGTTAGAACCATTTTTGTTTTTGTTTTGGTGCCATTTCATTTGCAAGTTAAAACTACAGTACAACTCACACATAGGTGCATTACTATCCTGGCTGTGTATTAAAAGCTGTGCTATTGATGCTCAACATTTCAAACACCACTTTAGTTTACAAACTCAACTAATTTCACTAGAAATTGGTACTTTAGTGACAATTGATGACACCTAGTAAATAGCAGTAAAATACATTTTTTTTAACTTGCCGATGTTAGAAAGAATAATTTAAACATTTAAATTGTAAGTCTACTGTCAAACTTGCCGATCAGCCGCATCGGCATGATTGTGTGCATTTGGGTGTTGTGAATTTATTGACTATTCATGTATTCAAATGCTGCCTATTAACACGTAGTGCCGTGCTAGAGGTCAATAGGCATTAGCATTGACTCTCTATGCTTTGCTGGAGTGGTACAACTAGGCTCCAACTACAAGTGGCATGTGGCAGCCAGTGGTCTAAATGTCGACCACTAGGTCTAGGGCTATAGTATAGGGGCTAGCAGGCCTTGTATACTATAGGCCTAGATCTATCGCATGTAGAATCTACAAGGTGCATATAAAATTAAAAGGGAAAATGATAATTCTGGAAGAAACTGTATGAAGGGGTGACCAAAGTTCGCGCAGATTTTAGAACAAATTAGAAAATGTGATATTCGATCCATGTTTTCTCATATTCTACCCAAATTTATTTATTTTAATTACTACCAAATGGACGGCAAAGTATTTTACTACCAATTGGTTCAACTACAACATTTATCGTCGAAGGATTTCGGAGATATCGCGATCTAAAAATTCGACGTCCGATCGTGCATGCGCGCTGCATCTAAAAAAGTCATAAAAACAACGAGACCTAAGTTCACGCACGGGGGTTTACAGCTGATTTATACAAAAATACGATCCATCAAAAATAAGGTAATTTCATAATTTGCAAGGCAAAATATCATACAACCAGACGGTACCACTTATTACTTACAATTTTGAGGATATCTGCTCTCAAAATGAAGATTTCCAGACCCTTATCGGTAAGTTGGTAATTTTTCGGAACGGACGCAAATAACTGCAAAATGTGCCGATCTTTTGTCAATATTTTCACAATTTCGCACCCAATTCCAAAGAAAATTTCGTTCCTGGGTAATTTTATGATCCTCTTTCCATTGGTGATATCACCGATTTTTTGAGAAAGCGAACTTTGGTCACGCGCGAACTTTGGTCACACAGCCATACGTGGAAGTGGTAAAAACTAAAGGGAAGTGGATAATCAGAGACGCCAATTAAGTTCAAAGATCAGCAATGCGTGACATTTTCATGACTCGGCGTGCGAGCGCGCAGGCGAGCGTATAACACACGTATAAGGTATAGCGTTTTTTCAAAATCTAGCGCGCGCGTCGTGCGTGAGAGCGTTTTCAGACCCTCAAAATGCGTGACACTTGGTAGCTCTGGATTTTTAATTGAATTATATCTTGTTTTACCCACTCCAGCAAAGCATAGATTCTAGAGAGTCAATCAATGCTAATTAATGAATGCGTATTAGCGCTGCACTACGTGCTAGTAATTAAAGACAGTAAGAGGCAGCAATAGCACACATAGTTCAGAAGTCTATCCAAAATCTGACCCGTCACTCCGGCGTGTATATACCTGATATACCCAAAATGAAGAAAATATTCATCAAATGTCCAAATAAAGGTCATGATTTAAAAGACGATATTTTGTTATCTGTTTCGTGTCAATTTTCTTATCTTTTTTAAAGTATTTTTCCTAAAAACAAAGACTTTAATATGCACTTTCTCACAGTCACTAACTTAATACACACGCGCCCACACCAGACCGTCGGGACGGTATGTAATTGTATTGTGCTTCAGTTTGCCATGAATCCCGTGAGAATGTGCATATTATAAGGCTTCGTTTTTACAGGTCATTTCACATCGTTTGAATTGCAGCAGGTTATTGTCTGCTGACCTGCCCCATGCCTACGTGTCTTTCCTGTGACCTGACTCTGGGCCAATCGGGTATAATACGACTACGGATGACGCAACCGCAGTATTCATGTGCGTGCAACATGCGCAAAACCGAAGCGCGAGGGAAACTTTGGTCTGTTTTGCAAACGCTAGCGTGCGCTGACCACTAATCAAGTCCATTTGTTCATATGTGCAGTTGTCCAAAAGAAGTCGTAGATTGCGTTAAACAGTATTGGCCATGATACACCCATTTTGAGTTTATTTTGATATTTGAGAACTTTGAGTAGGGTCAAAATGTCATTCGACCCTGTTCAACAGACAACAGTTCAGATTAAAGCCCCTTATCTCTTAGGGTTATATATTTGTTTGAATTGCAACTCATTATTTGCTGACCTGATCCATGTATTGTAAGGTCATTTTGATGTACCCTAGGAGATAAGGGGCTTTAAATAATCAGAATTGTTGGTGGGGAAGGCTTGAATTTAGCTTATCTGGGGTAAATTTGTGTGCCGATTCTAAAAATGTCAGTCTTAGTGTGTTGGTCACTACGGTAGTTCTTTGGCCAAAGTGACCATTTGTGTCATATTTAGGGTACAACATCAGTTAGAGATTTCAGTGAGAATCAGTTGATAGACAGTTTTCTTTAACTCAAATTCTAACCCCGAGAAATGCCGCTGTTGATCACTGGTCACTGTTGACATAAGCACCCCATTCATACATAGAATTTGAGTGTCAACAAACTTAATTATCAATTATTAAATTGATACGATTGGCCATTTGAATTTTAAAAAAGTGACCGATATGACCATGATGACCAAAACAACATGATTGGGGTCAATAATAATAATAATAATAATAATAATAATAGCCTAATAGTCCACTCCAACTTTTATTAAACCGAAACGGAAATTCTTTTTGCCCAATTGATCGTGAGCCCGGCAGCCACTGAGCAGCGCCAGATCGAAGTTGCTCTATCCCTTATTGTTGAACGCCAAACAAGGTAGCAACAACTCCCATCTTTTAACGTCTTTTGGTAAGACCAACATCCTTAGAATCAGAGCAAACTGTTACCTTGTCTATGCAGCATTCTCCTTCAAACATTAATTGGACTTAAATCGGATTGAAATAGTCGCAGCTCCCTGAACTTTCAGTTTATTATAATCACAATAAGTGGCCAAAATGACTGAAGTACTCAAAACGGTGTAAATATATTCAGAAAGTGGCTAAAATGTCAGTAGGGTTTGTAATATTGTTTGAAATGCAACTTGTCAATGTCATTTCTTCTGACCTGCCCCACACAATGTAAGTTTATTTTGAAAAACTTCCAATATTTTCCAAAAAGGAGGATAGTAATGGTCAACTTTGATTTCAGCTATATGCAACCACTATTCTTTTGTTTCCTTTTGCAGTGTATTTATTTCAACAAGAGTTGCCAAAGCTGTTGTATAAGTTATTTCCTAAATGTTTATACATTTTTTTTGCTGAACTGCCGTTCTCTGTTTTGTATGCAACCAGTATCCTTTTGTTTCCTTTTGCAGTGTATTTATTTATTTTCACAAGAGTTGCCAAAGCTGATGTATAAGTTATTTCCTAAACTTGTATATATTTTTTTATTTAATATTTCTTTCTACAGGGCATAGTTGATCTGTGTATGTCTCAGAACACCCTCATATCTGATCTCATTCTTGACAAGGTAAGAACAGTCTCTGTGCTAGCTCTTCTTTGCCACAAGGCATGTTTTCATCCGACTGAAGTTGCAAAATAACCTGCTATTTTCAGACTCAGAATATTTTCCCCAAGCTCGAAATTGTGTCTTCACCCGACCTATATGCTCATCACAAACTAGCTCGGGCTATTTTGGAACAAGACCAAGATTTTGTTGGATATTTTCTCGACCAAATAGCCGGCTAATTGCAACTGAGGGCTGATGAAGACGCAAATTAGCTGACTAATTTAAGATCAGGCTAGTTAAAATAGTGGCTTATTTTGCAACTTCTGTCTGAACATAAGATAAAGGGCATCGTGGGGGGTCAACAGGTACCGCCTACATAGTCATCTCTTTCCATATCTACATGTATTGCCTTACAATTGTACAACACCAAATATGGTTCCATTACCGATTGTGCATACAGGTCCCCCAGGCAGTGAAACTGTGACCCAACAGAAAAGAAAACATTTTGAGGGTGAGGAAAATGTATGATTAAAAGAGTTAAATGTACTTGATGGAGGGTGCAGTGCATTAAATAAGATTATAAGATCTGTTGGTCATTAAAGTGATGTCCAAAATACAATGATGCCCCATTGACTCCATTGTTAAGTTTAAGATTGCTTTAAAGACGCACTTATTTAACATTTAATTCATCCATTTTGTCTGTTTCCCAGTACATCTTGTCTTTGTATTCTGTTGTTTTTCTCTAGAGCGCTTAGGGACATGTTTTATTACTATGTGTTATGCGCTATACAAGAATGGTTAATTATTATTATTATTTGTAATGATTACAATGTTATCTTAGAATGTGCACATGACCTAAATATGGCTAAATGCTTAAAAAGGCTTAAATGTACTAACATTTGTTTGTTAGTATTCCAATCATTATTCAGAACAACAAGCAGAAAGATGATATTTGTTGAAGCCCATCTGTGCTACTTTGGCTAGGAGGGATTAAACCTCCCTGCATGGTCACTGACAGGTGGTTATCTCATCAAATCAGTTCTCAATTAACATTAGAAAAAGAGTACTTTGGGGAGCAACGGTCACCGATTAGGCATTGTTTGCTATAGAGGGCGCAAGTAGCTATGAGTAGTGCAGTGGGTCTTTATATTTTCCATTTCCAATTCAACTGCGGATTGCCGAAGGAGTGCAGAGTAGTAACTACATGCCATTAACCATAGTAATGTCCGTTATAGTTACAACAGCCCGAGTTGCTGAAATGGGACGAGACGATGCTGACATATACCGAGAGGAAAGGGACGAAGAGACTGCGAGTTGCCATAGCAACCTACTTAGAAGACCAGACTGGCTCGCCTCAGAAGATAGACCCGGATATGGTATGGCATGCAATATGAAATGGGTAGATTTTACAAATTTGTTGTATGACATGTATACAAAATGTATTTTAAAGGTACAATGTCCCATTTGCAGGTCAAACAAATTAAATGGTTAAATGCCAACAGCATTTGAAAGACAATACTTCTTTAGAACTTCCCTCAAAATGAAATGGTTTGAAAATGAATTTTTGTGTCAAAATAACGACCATTACATTAGTTGATGAATCGACATAAGTGATTGCAGTCACCTAAGTATTAGTCTGATTTTCAGACCCTTGTATCGAATGGTTGTACGTTTTGTGCTGCACAAAGATTCAATCAGTCTAATTTTGGCCATTACAAGTACGTAGTGTGTTATTGATGTAGACAAATGTTATTACCAAAGAAAAAAAGATGTCAGTCAGTCACTCAATAGTGTCTGACAGGGAAGTGTAGAAGGTAAACAGGTTTTCTGGCATAACTTGAATACTAGGACACCAGACCTGTCAACCAGTACGATTTAGTCGTATTTTGTACGATTTTTAGAAGCAAATACGACAGTACGATTTTCCTCAATAAAATACGATTTTCAAAAAAAAACACTGTCATGTAAAGTTACCTACAAGCATATCACATCGGCAATTTCGGGATGTTCATTGGTTCATCGAACACAACAGTCGTGACGAAATCATGCATTTTCAGCCAATGATCCATAAAAAAAAATTCTTCCTGTATGTTCGAACTGTAAGAGGTATTGATCCGCGTGACAGTCCGTGTTTATTTTTAAGAATACAACTTTTGGGATTGAAGAATACAGTTTTTGAACTCCAGAGGTTGGCAGGTCTGGGACACTGCTAACGTTAAATTTTACAGATAGGACATACATGTCTTACATGACCTATAATTCCTGCAAAGTTCTACAGGATTTGATGTTGGCTGCAAAAGGGACATACTGTAGCATAATATACAAGATGACAGTAAAATGTATATCATATCACGATAACCACAACGTTCCAAAAAGGCACAAATGCAAATGTTTAAATTGAAAACTGATAGGCCTCATTCCACTCCAAGTGCTGATTAATTATTCTTTAAAA